GCTGCTGCTAGGCTTAAGCTAAGCTATTTGTTATATAGTTATTTAGTTTTCTTTACTCTATTTAGTATTATCTGTATCTGATTTTTATTTTCTTAGTAAATTAGAATCTATGAGAAAGAGTTTTTTTACACTTTTTATTCAATTGACATATTGTAATTAAGTCATTTTATTATCATAGACATATACATATAGTTCATGTTTTTGTGCATCAATAAGAGTATTTTTTTTGGACATCTTTATATATTTATAACTTAAAAATTATTTTTTATTTTTTATTTTAAAGGCAAGATGATTCTTTTATACAAAAACATTATTATAAAATTTAATGATATAGGTGATGCTAAAAGAAAAATTATAAATTAATTATTGTACTTTCACTTTATCAAACTTAGTCCAGTCAGAAATTTTACCAAAAATGGATATTGAAGATCACACCTTTTATAGTATAAGAATGTCGATCAGAAGGTTCTAGATTTCGTAGCATATGAACATCAACCAATCAAATTAATTAAAAACTTATATATGAGCAAATATGTTTTATTATCAACGAAACTATTAATGAAGCTTTACCTCTTATTAATAAATATTTTAAATAACAATTTATTCTAGTTAATTAATATCTTCTTTACTAATTACATATTATAATATTCGATTTATATTATTAAACAATATTACTCGTATACACAGTATTGTTTAAAAACATAATCTGTATTAGATATATTGTTTAGTAATTTAAATCTTTCTTGAATGCTTTGAATATTTTCTTTCATGAGTTATAGTAGTACCTATAAAGTTGCAACTAAATTAAACTATGAAGGTTAAATATAAATAGCACTTTAAATCTTCATTTAAATATAAAGATAAACTTTTAAGATCATCTTAACTGATGACAATTTTTAACTTCCTATACAAAGTAAATACCTAACTTTAATGTCTCATTTACTTTAACCAAGAAAGGTTATCATAAGGGATTTTTTGGGATGATTAAAACTAGATGTCTCGAACTATGTATTCAAAGCCTTTTTGGTTTTACTAACTATTGAAAAAAATTTTTTCAAAATGTTCAACGTTTGTAGAAGAAAAACTATATGAGAGTCAATCATATCCAAGAATGCCCTTGTAGATCATTCTAGAATGCAATTTCCTTATTTGGTAAAATCCCTGACTATAGTCTTGAAGAATCTAATTCTGCTTAAATAGCTCTAGTAATTTTAATAACTATTTTATACATATATATGCTATAATAATAAAACTTTGCTAAAGTAACAGTGTTATTATCTAATTAAACTTTATTATTATAAGATTAATTTTAGAAACCAGTCTGTTAAGATAAAAATTCTTGAATCAATTTATAGGTTTTCTCTTAGTATTACCTATATATAACCAGAATCAAGGCTTTATAAATGTTAAACATAATCATAAAAATTATATTTTAGTAGAACTGTATCTTAAAGATATTGCTTGAATTGTTAGTTTTATTAAAAAATAAAAAAATTTATAACAATAGCTTAAATTGCAATTTGAATTATACTAAAACTTAAACCATGGGCTTGGTTTTTTATTAGTATTTATTTGAATCAGTTCTAATATAAATTGAAATTAATTAGACTTAATTTGTGTCTTAATCATAGTTCAATGCTATGCTTTTGACTTAAATTCAGTTTACTTCAAGTCATGGTTTATATTCAGATATAAACAAATTTTATTATTATAGTTTAATTTTTTATTTATTCAAAATAAAAGATTATCTAAACATTTGTTACTCAAATTTGTTAACATATTAATAAACCTTTTTTTTTTATTAATATTAATTATTTTTATTAATAAAATAATTTGTATGAACCTATTATCTTGAAGAATATTCTAGTAATGATCAAGATGACAATTGATAAGTCAAAAGGTATTTTGAAGCTTTATAATATATGAATATATTAGACAAACCTGTGTTTAATATAACTTTAGAATGAATAAAATTAACTATTTTAGTTATAAATATTAATAGCAACTTATTTATGTTTCATTTAAAAAGTTATATCAAACTGGCTTAAAAATAAGCATAATTAAGTCATAACTAGTAATAAATAAGCTGCTATCAATAGTTATGAAATTTTAAAAAGCCAGTATAAAATAAAAAAAAAATAGTTTAGATAAAAGATTTGTTAATCACAATGCTACACTTACTGATTATATTTCACAAATTATTAATTAAAATTCATGCATATTTTAACATACTTTGACTCAAAATATTATTCTATTTATCTGAATTCAGTTTGTTTCAGAATAGTGTTTGAAATATATGAACTAATCTTCTATAATTGCACTTTCTCAGAACCATAGAATAATTTTTTTAAAAATGTTCATTTAAAGAGGGTGTGCATTTATAGAGATCATTTTTACTATTCTTCTATATACTTGAAATTATGTCAGAGCATCTATTTAAAAAGAATTTATATAGTAGATGCATTTATAGATAGTGAAATTATAGAGGTCCAGCTATATATAGGCAAAAAAATTTCTATTAATCAGATACTTAAGAATGCTTCTAAGTTAATAAGTAATAATATGAAATAGGTAGATTAGTCATAACTATAAATTTCACAAAGGATGATGATATCATCATGCAAATTGCATCTTATGACCTCATATCTCATATAAATTAAATTTAATTAGACTTGGATGAAGTTATTTCATACTTTGAACAAAGCAAAGACCTGTAGATTTTATAATTTGCTGTGACTGAAGTAAATTAAAAAGTCTGTAGTTTATCGTAATTTGCTGTAATTAAAGCAAATTACTGAAAGCAAATAGTTTTAATGTAATTTGTTCATATTTGTTTAGTTATGCAAAAAGTATAAATTATTTAATGAAATAAAAAATATATAATAAATAATATTATTTTTTAGTAAAGCAAAAAGTTAATAATAAATTAATGTGAATTTTAATATGTATACTTGCAATGTTTCTTTTAGCAAAGTATAATAAATTACTATATAATAGAATTTATTAGTAAAGAATAATAAATTGTTATAAATAATAAAGAAATTTATTTATGTAATTATTTGCATTTCACATAAAATAAACAGTTTAGTGCAATAAATTTTAGGTTTTATGCATACATAAGCAAACGTAATTGAATCTGTTAATAGGTTTTAATTTTAGATATGTTATTCTTGATTCTGATTGGCTAATTAGGAATACCTCTCTAAATGCACACCCTCTCTAAGTGCACACTTGCTATCGGTCCCAAGGGTGTGCATTTAGAGAGGTATTACTGTAATAGCATACAATATATGATAAAACTAATTGTTACAAACATGACTATTGAGTCTATAAAAAATTATAGAGCTCATGAAAAAGAGCTTAATAAAATTAAACAGTTTGTTAAATCTTTTATCGAGATTATTACAAATTACCATTATAATTTTTATATTTACAAATATTTACAGTAATTAAAATTTTATTATTGAGTTGCATGAAGCTTCAAGTCTAAGAAAAGTCAAAGTTCCAACTTATTGCTTTTTTTTTTGAGATTTCAAAAGATGAATTGCGGGGTTAAAAAATTTCAACTCATTCATTCATTCATTCTGACCACTACGGATCCGATCCTCCAGCTGCGGCTGTGGCACGAAGTCGCCCTGGCTAATTCGATGGCACATCATACGTGTTGATTGCCGACACACACCTCAAAACAACAAATATACGTTTACTATTTAAAACAACCAAAAAACATTTTAACTATAACATGATCAAGTTTATCGTCTAGACCAACCAAAAACGTTTAAAATCACAAACTCAACTTTAAATTATAGAGAAAAGCTTTATTTGTGATTTGTAATATCAGTTTGTCTGAAATGAATTATCCATATGTCGATGTAGGATGTTTTACGTAACCTTATGAGGTTTACATATCATTATTGTTATGCATAATTTGTCTGTAGTACATATTACAAAAATTTTAGCCATATACGTACGTATTATTTTTTTCTGTTAATAAACAACGATGAAAAAAACATAATAATACACTTACAATAAAAAAAGTCAAAATTATATCGAAAAGTGACATATCTTTAAAGGGTGGAAGCGAGGGTGTAAGGTTTGTGACGAATGCAATCATCATTCACACCTATATTGTGATACATGCAAAAAAGTGGCAGATGAAATATATAAACGATGTGAATTTAGCGATTTGGTGATAGTTTAAACAAAATCTATCGTTATTGTTATACATTACTTGTTCACGTTCGTTAGCGTAATAATTCCGCATGTAAAATTTATCCGAACCACTTTACAAGGCTTATCATAGCTTATTTGTGAGACGGAGCTAGAATGCGAAAGTGATATTATAGACGGAACGGCTATAAAAAGGAATACGTGAGTGGATGACAAATCTAGTATTACGAGACCTGAAACACATATTTGTTATTTTATATAACATATAATCACTTAGCTCAGATTGATGTTTCTAAATTTTAACTGTGCTATTAAATGTGTATGATACAAACTTGAGGCTGGTGACTACCAAGAGATAACTTGAAAACCGACTGACTCATAACTTCACCGCCAATTGACTGGAGCAGACATGAAGTATGGCGTCTCCAGGGTAAATGTACAGTACACCAGGGAAGCACTCGTCGCCAATTGACTGGAGCAGACACGAGTAACTTCAGCGTAGTCAGTAGATCAACTGCCGCCGCCAATTGACTGGAGCAGACACGAACAGTTGTTAGTCACCAAGCAACTCATACTTCACCGCCAATTGACTGGAGCAGACATGAAGTACGGCGTCTCCGCGGTAAATATATACCAAGGGAAGCACCCGCCGCCAATTGACTGGAGCAGACACGAGTAGCTTCGGCATAGTTGCACTCTCATAATTTGTATAGTATAGCTTGCATAACAGAAATGATGTTTATGTTTGTGCGTTCTCCAAATTTGATTGGTCTGCATTTTTATGAAATTTGATTATCAAAACGCGTAACTACAGAACTAGACTTACGAATATGACTGCAGTTCTTAGATCTCTCAAATTCTTAGAGTTTAAAGTATCTACCTCAGAAAATATACCGCACTCTTATTTTAAAGAGGTTTCAGCCCAAAATTGGCAACTAAAACATTATCTGAGCTTTCGTTTAAGAATTGACGAAATTATTTTGCCGTGGTCTACAGTATACAACGAGTGGCAACAGTCTCTTGAATTTATTTCTAAAAACTTGAATAAAACTATTCCAGGATGTGTGTCCAGCTTTTGCGTTGAACTACAAAAAATTTGTGACACTTTTGAAGGTGCCATTGTTCTCCAAGGCTGTGAGAAGTTTTATGAAGAATTTTATCAACGAAGTATTGATCTGCAAATTGCTGAAAGACGTCGACTCTTGGAAACAACAATATTTTCGGAGCAAAAGTTTACGGAATTCTTACAAGCATCGGGTCAAAAGCGAATAATGGAGGATATTGAAGATGCCGCATCGTCCAATGAAAAGCGTGTTTGTCATAACGTCTTACATGAATTTGTTTGTACAGTACTTAAATTCGAATCCATATTGTTTGTTACGCGCAAATATTTTATTAACATTGCTTCTTCCAATTTATTTCACAAGTCCCGAAATTGCGACATAGAAGAAAATAAAAACAACGAGGAGGTATAAAAATTATTACTGGTAATTAAAATTTTTAAATAGACATTAGAATAATTGACCAACTTTTTAATTTCTTGAATAGTCTGATTTATTTAACAATCAAGGAGTAGGTGTTGAATATGACACCGAAGTTAGAAATCTTTTGAATGAATCAGAAACCTGTTCACAGGAACTTAGCACCATTCTAGCCGCTTTTAGAACTTATCAACATGAAGCAAAGAATATTCTTTCGGAAAATGAAATTATGGATTTAAGACCATCTTCTGAATTTGTTCTCTTGTACCTAAAAGAAACGGAGTATGACTTGTTAATTGAAAAGGTTTTTGAGCCTATTGACAAAATCTTTCCAAAAGAGGCCGATGACTTTCTAATCGATTTCTTTTCAGAGGTAACTTATTTAGTTAGGGCTTCGTTGGCGGATTGTAAATCATATACCATCGTATCAAGTATTAAGTCAGAGAAATAAAAATGTGACCTGTCCGATTTGATAAAGATATTAAATTTTTTGTCTTATATCATCTTATTTACAGAAATTAGGCGAACAACAATGGGAGGATAAAATCGAAAGCTTGATGGAAGATAATTCAGGGCAAAATAAGTTTATAATAAAGTTAAAAAGATTAATAATAGAAACGTTACCGATTTTGTAAGTATTCAAGGAATGCATCTTTTTTTGTATATACTAATATGTATTTTACAATTTCTAGTTTTGACTCCTACAAATTAATGTCTGATAATCCACTTAAAAATAAAGAAATGACAGAAGAAGAATACATGAATACTTATATTAATCCGATTTTAAAAAATGCATTGATCCGGTTTTCCGATATTAGATATGTTTCGTAAGTATATATTTTCATCAGCTTATTTATAACAACAATTATTCATATTCTTGCAGTGGTGGCAAAGCTATCAAAGCCTCTACGTATCGAAAAACCGTGATGAACCAGAAAGGAAGCGCAGATCGTGCGGATGGGATAGCATACACATCCAACCAACAAAATTCTTATGAAATTTCTGTTACTGAGGGGAGCCGGCCATACGTTACGGAAAAAAATAAAGAAATTTGTGATTTCATTCAAAATGCAAGAGCGGCAAAGGATATGATTAACTTTGTTGTAACCCAGGAAGTATTACATAAACGGCCACTTCCAGCATATTTTCGAACATTCATGTTCCAAGTTTTCGAGTTTAACTTGCGGTTCTATTTTATGGAATATCTTGGTATGGACTACATCATATCAATACCAAATATGTTTAAGTTATGAGTTGACCTTTCCTTTTTATAAAAGCTCAGTATTGTATCTTCGAAATTGAAACTTGCGAAGTACCTACGGATTGGAAGGAAACCCTGCAATTTTCCTCTTTTTATCGCGCAATTGTAACTTGGGCAGTAAGTCATGCACTGCTGTTTGTGAGAAATTCCTTTTTTTTTACTGGTTTACATTTTGTTTTGCAGCTATTGGTAGGAGAAGCCGATAAAAAATTTCAAGAATCAAGGAATAAAAGGAGTTCACGTTTAAGCAATTCTCACAATATACGAAAATTGCTAAGGCTTTCACATAATGACGATCGGGGCGGTACAAAAAAAGACATGACGATGAATAAGCTTATCTAGATAAAGTATGGCAGACTAAGTAATTTTTTTAATTTTTCGAATCGTGTTTTAGAACTTTTTTTATATGTAGTATTGTAAAGTGTAGCGCGTATTGTTTGTCCATATCAGATTTATTTTGCAATATGTGAATATCTATGATTTGGTATGCCAAATATCGCTGAAAAATTTCCAAATTTATGAATGATTAACAGATATATTCAAAAGTACTTTTATTGGCAGACAAAAACATGATCTCTTATAGGGCAAAAATAAAATAAATTTTAAATTTGCATTTTGTTAAAAAATCGGGCGTTACTTGTCACGCTGATCATGTGAATAAATTTTTTCCTATGAAATTTAAGTGATTGACATATAAGGTAGATATGGGTATTGTGGCGGATTGCACAAATCTGATGATATCTCGTGACCCAGAGATCGGAATCGGAAGATTTTGGTACCAATCGATTCGTCTCGATGAGACGAATCGATTGGTACCAAAATCATTCGATTATGATCACTGAATCGCGAGATACAACCGTTTAAATGTTTATTTTATTATTGAAGTATTTATTATATAATTTATATGAAAGTAATAATGTTTGAAAACGGCCTCTTCCTATGCAATTCGTTCTTTATTTATTAAGCGAATGATTTATAGCCATAAATTCTATACATAATTAACTTTGAAAAAATTAATGCTGCTCTTTATTAATAGTGTTAACCAGGAAGTCATGTGACACGTGACTACGGCTACCCCCAAATTAGGGTAACCCGGCCCACTCAGGCTATTTCGACTACGTAGGCTATACTACGGCTACGTAGGACACAAAAGTCATGTCGGGTAAGTATGAGTTGGGAACGAAGTAGTAGAAGTAGCAGACTTAGAATGACAAATGTAAATAAAGAATTTTAAGATAAATAAAGGCCGTGAAGGCCCTAAGGAAAAGAGGAGAGACCCCCTTCCAAACTTCGCTTTATTAAAATAATAACTGACTCCTTACATAATAATAAATAAATAAATGTCTCCCTTGTCACATTAACTAATCGCTAAATCCTAGACCATAAAAACCCGATTCTTGTAATTATCTTTCTTTCCTGAAGTATGTTAAATTTCCATCTGACTATTGTATCCTAAAGTACCAGGATCAGCCATGGTGGTATTGTTTCATTATCCCGAAGGATTGAGGATAGTGTGGTTATATGTGTTGGTCAATTACCCAAAGTAGTGAGGTAATTGAGGATAAAGTTAGTAACAGTTCTAGACACAATATTTTGGATTGTGAAGTGACTGAATTTTTTTTTTTTTTTTTTTTCTCTTAAGCAGTCATGGTAGTACTTTATTAAACCATTTGTAGCTACATTTGTAATTACAGAATATCATTTGACTTATAAGTCTACCATCATCTGGCCACCCAAACAGTACCTAAATGTGACCTGTCGCACTAATCCAGTTAGGATTAGAAATTACGACTCGTCTGACTCCTGCCCTACAATAGGATACCGCCAATCTGGAGACATCTTCTCGTAGAGAAGAGAAAAACAAAAAAAAAGAAAATGA